TACTTCCAGAGCGTCCAGACCTAGACAGGATGACGATTAGGGTCATCATCCAAAGCCTTTGGCTCAAAAGCCTGTCCGCAAGGCAATGATTTAATTTTACAGAAATGGACGCCATCCCATTTCAAAGTCCCAAGCTGGAGAACCAGGAGACTGAGTTTGTCTGACCTCTCACCATTGACCAACCTGATAGGAGTAGTTCTCGAGGGGGCGCGGAAGCACTACTCAGTGTAGCTCAATGGGTCAAGGAGGTACGCAAACCGTCGCTCCACGTTAAGGACCAGTCTCGTTGCGACGGATTCGGCAAGCTGCAAGCCAAGAAGTCGCTCACCTGGAAGCAGCTCTACACCTAACAGTTAATGACTGATTGGAGTGAGGTCATTTGGAAGCACTCTTTGTTTGAATGGGTTAGGATACGCAATCTCTATCTGAACGGAGATTTCACTTGTGGTGAAGCTCAGTCGCAGAAACTGTAGCTGGAGCAGATGAATGCCAAGAAAAATGAAGCCAGCCGTGGATTGTAGTGTTCGGGCGGCTAACACCTAACACGTATCTTCTTGTGTGTTATTGTCGCGATGAGAAAGATACTTGAGTCTAACCTAGTTCTATCCCGGTTACGATTTGAAATGTTGCTGCCATTTGCAAGAAGGTGTGATTTGGCGAAGTGCAGGATATTATCGTTATGATAGCGATAATCCTAGTACAGTATACGGAGAGAGAAAATTCTGCACAGGTCGAATATGTTGTGTAGTTGCACTCGTGACAGTGACGCGCTGAGTGTACCTATGGGGACGCTGACAAAACGAAACCGATCGGAAATATGAAAGTGGTGCACATACATCCACATATTACTCAAACAAGCATGTGTAGTTACTAGCCCAAGTGGGTAAATAGTGGAAGTTGATAAAACATAGTGATACAGATTGACAGAAAGGCTACAGGTTATGCAAGACGTTGTTCCACCGTAGACGGATTGTAGCAGGTTATTCGTGATGCCCTCGGAGATAGATAATTAACAGTTTAATCCTTTGTGTCCAGACGGTACTGATAAGTACCACTCTGTTTAAATTGCAATACTGCATCAGTGCAAGCGTCATTACTGCCGGTACTCGCGAAGATAAGTATAATAGCCTTCTGTCAGCAATTAAGTAAGAGCCAGAACTCCGATACCTTGCTGTACAGTGTGTGGAGTAAACTTTTGCGGTTCATGTCAAGCTATAGGTAAATGAATTCAGGGCTCAAAGGGTTAGTCACTGATGCAGTTTATCAACTATGATAGGCAGGCTAAAATAAGGCAGAGAGAGCTGAATTGGCCAACATCGGAAATCATGACGGTTAGTGGTATCCAGTTCCGGATTTACCTGTCACTGTTTGCCTTCATAGGACAGCCACAGGACGCCTGCGCCTACAGAGGGACCATGAGTGGCTTGCGCTACACCACGCACACACCCCATAACCAGTGTAAACCAGAAGGAATAAGACCAGGGGGCATGTGGATGGGAGCCAGATTTAAACGGAGCCGGCACACACTTTTTCAACGAACATAAAAGAAGCAGACATGTCTAATTGGATAATCATGCCTACCAGACGTACACAAGGCGGTGGCTGGGCCGTAGCCAGTTCTACACTAGATACAAGGAACCACTTTTTAAGCCTAGTACGACACGAGGACCGTGCAACCCGTCCCCTCCAACTACGAAGAACTGTCTCCTGGAGCTAGTATAGGCGAGGTGGTGGGTAATAGACGGGTAGGTAGTTTGTCAACATTCACAACAAGCGCAGTCACACCGGGGATATCAAACAACAGCCAACACCTGAAATGCAAGAATCTCAACACGCTGGCACACGAACAGACCAACTGCAACGACGATGCGGCACCCGTATCACATCAACCGCACAATTGACCTGAAAAAGTAAATTGGATCGGAGGCAGCGAACTTAGAAAGCGCCGCGCTAATGATGACTACACATTAAGTAAACGCGCCTTCTCTTACATGTCGGCCGAAGGTGGCGACGCTGGTGTCTTACCAGAACCGCTTGGCTGAGGCACTCGCGATCACATGCACTACAGCACCACGCGCTCGATGTCAAAAGAGTGTACTCCATCGACGCCTGTCGCATGCTCAACCGACGTTTCCTTTCCGCACGCAGTAGTGGTTTCTCCTGCAAATGGGCAACTGCCCACTTGACCTGCTCTCGCCATCGGCGCCGATCCACTGTCATCGACTCACAACACCTGAAATCAACATCAGTTCGTGATTAACTTACATTGATCGTGTCCTGGTAACGTAACTTCGGTTTTCCCACATGCCGCTTCCCTGCACTCGGTTGGCCATAAAGCAGCTGTTTCGGCATCCGGGTCGTATCCAAGCCGCAACTATGCCCGAGCCACCTCAGGTGCCACAGCAGAAGTATGCAGTCCACTACATAAATGCAATTGCGTTGGAGCCCCTCCGTGTCTGTAACTCGGTCACTCCAGCCGATGCACATAATACGGCGCAGACTCTGTTGATGGAAGCGCTCCAGATAACCGATATTCTTCAGATAAAGCGTCCAGGTTTCGCTACCGTACAGAAGAACGGACAGCACCGTACTTTTATACCAGCAACTACGACTCCACAGTGAGTTGTTGGCTATTCCATACAAGGTATTCCAGCTTGCAAAATGCAGCAACCGCCTTCGATACGCGGCTGCTCTGCTCGCTCGTCATCTACACGTCGGTTGTTATTACGCGCCCAAGGTAGCAAAATTTCGGAGTGGTTTCAAACATTTCGTCGGCAACCTCGATTTGGGGCAGGCCCACGGACTCCATCCCGGGATAAGAATGAAAAAGACAAACAGTCTTGCTTATGTTGGTGGTGAGCCCGAATTTGGCCGCTGGTGAAGTCATGTGCTGCAACTCATCCGCGTTGTGTGCAAACAACACACAGTCATCAGCAAACAGCGGCCTACGGATAGTTGTCTCACAGACTAGAGTTCTCGCACCGAAACGACGGATGTTTAACAACTCACCATCAATACGATGCTCCACACGAACACCGTAAGCACAAGACATCATGGCATGAAGATATATATTAAACAAAGGAGCTAAGACACAGCCTTGCTTCACATCAGAAATAACTGCAAAGTCATCCGAGGTCTCTCAACTCAGCTGCACCCCCGCTCGTATACCACTGTGCAGATATGCAATTAAACTTATAAACTTACGCGGGCAACCAAACTTACCCAACACCAACTACAATGCCTCGCGGTTCACCGTATCAAATGCTTTGGTGAAATCAACGAAAAGCGAGTACAATGGTTGGTGTCGTTCTATACACTTCCCCTGCAATCGACGAGCCGCAAACACCATATTTATAGTGTTACGACCCGAATGGAATCCACACTACTCTTTCTCCAGGTTAGGTTCCACAACCTGACGAGGCGGTTGGGCAGGATTCGGGCAATCACCTTGCCCACACAACTCACCAAGTTGATGCCACGATAATTCGTGCAACATTGCTTGCTACCTTTGCCCTGGTACAGGGGTAGCGCAAGGAGATCCTTCAGCTCAGGAGGCACCACCCCCTGAATCCACACGCGTTGCACCAAGTGGTGCTGCGCAGTCACCAACGCGGGTCCGCCGTGTTTCAATACTTCAGGCGGAAGCTCGTCGGCACCTGCACATTTGCCGTTTCGCAGCTGAGCAAGTGCTCTCTGCGTCTCATCCACTGTCGGTGTGTCGGCAAGACACGTCTTCATCTCTTGTTGTCGCAGCCTGTGCAACCGTCCAATCAATCTCTGAACGGTTGTTAAAGAGATAAAGTGCTTTCGCCAGATCTGCATTAACTCCGTAGTCTGTGTTCAGGCAACGCCTGAGCTACCCATAGAGCAGCGTCCTCAGCGGTTCCAACCTCGGTCCATACAGCGCCTTCAAGGAGTTAAAGAATTCCTTGTGTTAGCTGAGTTCGGCGAAGTGGAATTGAAATAGTGAAATGGAACAGCCAAGATTCCGAGGTGACGAAATGAATGCATGGGCGTCACTGACCGCGCCACATTCGATATGGTGCCCCTCCAATGGTTTGGCCGATCTCGCCGACCGAATCCTGCAACGCATGTCGTTCTGTCATGCCAGGTGCTGACTCACCGAGCGCATGACGGCATTTGGGAGCAGAATTTGGGCGAAAAATCTGCGCCAACTTGACATCATTGGCGTTCGCTAAAACACGGTGGCGTACATTTTGATGCGTTGAAGCAAAGGGTAGCGGTGATGTGACATAGATTTTTTGCAATGTGCAGATAGCTTCAAACTCATGCAGTCATAGAAATTGAAATTAGTGTGTATAAATTCAGTTGGCGCACTTCTACGGTTTTTTTATATATGCAGCATTGGCAAACTATGCACTCCAAAGCAACCGACTCGCTGGCATGCGGAACAAACGATTGGAACCAACGAAGGCGACCCGAGTGCAACAGGCACATTAATGAGATACCGTAGGATGTTACCAAACATCACATGGCGAAATTGCGCATCACTCGCTCGGTTCTCCCACTGGACATCAGCACTATTTCGCAGGAAGCTGTGGTCAGACGCAATCAGTCCATCAAGGCCTTCTGTGCGCAGCGGCCAGGTATCTAATCCATATTGTACCACTGACCGCACCAATACGCTCGCATCCCACCGTGTCCACAAGTGACTGAGGCTTTGAAAAACTGCACGGAGCTCAGCAATGCATGAAGCAACTGTTTCGGTGATATAACTGTTAGAAGTGATAAAGCCACCTGGAAAAATGAACCGATCGATAACTTCAAGCAATTGATCAGTGATAGTGAGAACCGGTGTCGAGACGGCCTAGTTCAGGAGATGGAAGGCACGTATCGAAGCGTGCAGCGATACCACCACCAGCTCTTGCATGGCAGCTCCATCTGATCGGAAGAAAATTGTCGTCAACATGTGCCGAAGTTGACATTCAGTGTTGGGATGAAGTGAATCTTCAGAACCGACGCGTTTCGAAAGGAGAGCTGAACAAGAAGGGTATCTGTTTCGATGAACAAGTGAGTTACAAATCCCAGGGGGATGAGTGGAGAACAATAAGCATTTCATAAACTAAAATGGAAAATAGTCACAAATGTTTAAAAATAATCACAAAAGAAAGATCAGTGCAGTGGACAAAGATCATGAAGTGATATAAGTGAGCGTTCACTGGCTGTTGACCAAATAGTGCGGAATAGAAATAATCGATTCAACGGAGCACCAAGACCGGAGTTTCGTCAAAATGTCACGTTGTTCCGGATACATGTCCCCGAACTGTATAAAAAATAAGAGAGGAAGAAAAGTCCTTGCAAGTAGATATCCGGTGAAAAATTCGAACAAAAGCCTCTATGCTCATAGCACCAGTAACATAGCTCCTTCAATTTTGAAAACATTCACAAGAACTACTACATGTAGCATCAATATCGCCGCTTTCAGGTTACCGGCAGCCAGACAGCCACCAAACGTCCGGAAAAGCGCTAGATGATCATTTCGTCCTATTAGAGCTTGCAAGTAGCGCGTTTTTCCTCCTACTCATATGGGGTACGAACACGCGACATTTATCTTACGGGGCAGCGTCACTCGGTTCCGATGACAAATTGTTATTTGCGATACAGCGCTGCTCGTGCTCCACCGCTATGCACATTACAGTTGTACAGGAGAGAGGGATGGCCCCCAAGGTTACGAACTCTTCCGATAAGCCGCCAACCATGTAATGACAACAAACTAGTTAGAGCTCGATTCCACCGTACCAAAGAGATGTCGCGCTACATTCTCTTCATACTTTACGCAGCTGCCCTATTACCAAGGTGACTTGGCAAATATGCCCTCCAGGGGCAGTGTCCAAAGTAGAGCTCATCGGAACTTGGAGCCTTTTCATGCTCGGCCATCTTATGGACCTGATAAAATCTGAACAAACGTTATTTCGCCCCCCTCCCACAGTGGCATTATTAGTTCCAAGTTAACAGTACCAACTTAATTAGGCTAGCAAGTGAAAACTAGATGAACCTCCACGTTAGGTGCGATTCCCTCCAATCACGAACACCGGACGTCAATAAGTAGGTTCATACCGAACACACCAGTCAGGGTTTGGCAAATACGTAAGCGCAACGGCGTTGCGGTAAAGACTACCGAACAAATGGCAGCTAAGAGTAGTAGGGATTTTCAGAGAAACGTACTGCGGTTGACACAGTTTTCTGACAGTGCCATGCTCTACCCTATATAATCCAACCACGTACCACCCTCTGTTTAAACTCAGCCACAACATCGTAATAAGAGGAAATCACAGAAAGTTAGCAAGGGGTGTGTTCAATATGACGGCCATTAAATAATCATCGGAAGTCAATCACTTCGGCTTCCAGGTGAATAATAATCAATAAAAGAAGCGAAAACACACCCACTACGGTACACTGAATAAAAACCCACGCTTGAGGTGAAACGATGCAAGGATAGCAGTTTTCGTTAGGTCATCATTAGACCAATCCAGGAAGAAGTATTCGCAGTAGTAGATCATGCGAAATGCATGGGGGATTAATTATGCAGGCGATTAATTTATTTGGAGTGTTAGCGCAACTGCCTGCAGAGAGATACCACAGCGCTAATTTATCGGAAAAAATTAACCAGCCAGTTGAATCCATTGAAAAATACCCCAACTAACATGCAAGTTCCAGGAATGAAAAATGATGAAATGACTTGTGCCCACTGCACATGGTAAGAGGAGTTTAAACAAGGTGAAATGCTAGATACCAACAAACTTAGAGAGGAAAGTGTATGAATCAAAACAACACATTAACATCAGGTTGGTCAATAGGGAACCATTGCTTAGCTCCCATGCAAATGCGAGTATGGATGAGGCAGCTAGTGGAAAAAAGGTATAAACACGAGGGACGGTACGGTGAGTAATCAAGCAGAGGTAAATGGCTGCATTGCAGATACCATACGCAGTTGTAAATGGTCAATAATTACAGGAAGATGACGTATCATTCAAAAAGAGATATAGTGAGCATTTCTGCTTCGCTCGCTGCATTATCGCAACCATGATTCACGCCGTCCAGTTCGAATAAACAACCAAAGCACTTACAATCACTATGTACACTCCAGATAAGGAGGACGGGGAAGGACTTGGCGGTGTCTGCACAGAGGAGAGTGTTGTTTGACGAAACTGAACTACACTCTCTCCATTAGAAGTAAAACGGGTCGATATCACAGTTGCGCCGAGTTTCCATAAGTCCAAGGTAATTGAGTGATGTGAGAATTCCTGCGAAGCATAGTGATTTTTACACAAGCCAGGCTGACGGAGATGGCGAGAGCTGTTGCAGGTGCATTGGTGAAGGTGCAATAACACAAATAAGCAGTCGTGAAGTGGGGAAAACGCTGTGCAGTCAGCAGAATAGTTTTCAATTTTAGGACCCTGCAATGTGCGCGAAAATGGGTGAGGGCGAGTATGACAACACACAAAAATGGTGGCAGATGCGGCAAATAGCGACCATGTGCAATCAATAGACACGGACACTGGAACATCCACATTCGATCCGAGTTGGGTATCATGCAGCAATGCAGTAATAATGGGTGATAAGATACCTAAGGAAAGACAATTCGATATTCAACAGTAACGCCACCAAACGAGCAGTATGCTCTCCACAGAAATAAAGGTATCAAGAGCACACGGGCAGACCGTTTCGCTGCCATGTGATTACCATGAGTCACGCATGGGCTGGATATACCGCGACGTCGATCACACCACAAGACCACAAGGCATGGGCGTAGTCCATGCAGCCACCTGCTAGCGGTGGGATCAATCGTGCGCGCTCGAAGCCTAGCTTACGCTATACGTCCAGTAAGCGAGAGTCCCCTATGTTTAAATGCAAAGTACTTTGCTCCAGTGAGTCCACGGCCCAACAGTTCAGGCACAGGTGAATGGGATGGCTGAATAGAGCTTTTTGAATTCCCCGAGACATTAAGTGGATGCACGGTGTATGGTTGCTGATACAGAAGTGAGGCAAAGGAACCGGGGTCTTATCTAAACATACAATAACTTGGACCCGAACAAACGGACTGCGTATGCACGAAACATTCCAGAAAACTATGCGACAACCGAGAGGGTAGTTCTATTCGTGGATGGAGAAAAGCCTCCGAATAAACCGTCGGCGAACTTCAGATGAAATATTGGTGGACGGGAAAACAATCAGCCGTGAAGAGGCGAGTGTGGCATGGAAAATGTTTTGTAACATGAAACGGTTACAAAACGCATGCCTGTAACACTAGATTGTGCAGGGTAGGTTCCAGGGAACGCAATTTTAACCGGTTACAAGAGAACCCATTGAGGCACTTATGAGACGTCCGTGTAACTGATGGATGAAAGCTTTATTAGTACATGCTTCGTCAGTTCAGTGCATTCCTTGGCGTGGAGAGAAATCGCCGCACGAGAAGAGGTCATTGGAATAAAGGACAGAGTAGGAAAGAAACCGAAGAGGTTCATACAAAGAGCAATGACTACGACCAACGTGCCATGGACAAATAAGCCAGCAATCAATTTATGACATGATGACATCAAGTGAGAACATGGAGACGAATGTTAAGTGAAAAGCGCGGAACGGTGTAACTGCTCGATTGATTCTCAGGGTTAAAATATCGTGGGCGCATTTAGAATTGATCTTGAACACTGACCTCAAGAGAATGTGCAGCTCGAGAATCTATGGATCGAGAAGGTCTCCCAGATGACTCAGATGGCACTGGGATTATAATCATCAAGATTTCCGTATTCACCGATGATGCGCTCCGAGGTCTCAGGTCGCATAGCCAACAGGTCATCCGGTCGCCATGACAGCAGCTGTTTGGTATCGAGACATGCTTGAAGCCAGTTCAGTAGCGCAACATCATACGAGTTGGAAAGACATGAAGATCTGGACTGTTTGGCTGCGTGGATTAAATTTCGTGTCTGAAATTAAGCGCATGCGTGGAAAAATAGTTCATCTGAGGTGGTGGTGAGAAAACCTGCACCGATGAAAACAAGCAGTGAGCACAGTAAAGGTTACGGATTGAATCCTTACCCTCGCAGTGAGTTTATCGGCAACAACACAAAATGTTCCCGCACCGGGGTTCGGAACCAACCTCCCGCCGGCCAACTGAACTCGCGTCTCTATATCGGTGCGTGCTTGTGGTGAGATGTCATTTGATAACATGAAGCAGAACTCCAAATCTTGAAGAAACAAATCCTCGTTATTCGTCTAAAAAACAATATGAGCAGACCTGTACCAAGCACCGCACATAATAGTCGAAAAGGAAGAATGGTACAGCGGTGTATGAGTACTGAGAGTTGTTACTAGTGGAGGGATGCGGTCCAGTGGATGTACTTTTGATCAGCCCATGGTACCGTTCACCTATTATGGGAAGTCTCTAAATGGAAACGCAAGGAATGTCTTGTCTGATGAGCGGCTGAGTGTGCAGTATGTTAGTGTGTGCGGTGGTGACAAAAACAGATACAAATTGACCCAGCAACACTCCAAAGCTCCTCCCGAGTACTTTACTGACCAACTTAAGCGGAGAGTGGGAAATCAGGTGTCGGAGGCGAACACAGTCCAACCAATCGGTTACTTCGTTGTGTCAAGTTCTAACAGTTCCCAAATTAGTGTCACACAGATGTGTTCTATGTGTAGATCTGAGCCCGAAAGACCTTGAGGCAAATGATATCTCCTTATGAGCTATGGATTGCCGAAAGTAAGGAGCACCGGGTATGTCTATTTCATGTGTAGGTTGGCTAGACAGCATCGTGATGTTCAACTAACTGCGCCGGATTCAGAGTGGATCAACAAAACGTCCATCTTTCGATGTCAGAATGCGCAATTATCAATCTAGCTCACACCATCCCTCTCGTCCGCATAGATTGTCAGTCTATCGCCTGTTCGTCAAACCCATATGCACATGTGTGGCCACCGTTTGATTGCAATGATGGAAGTAATGGTAACGCATAGGGTGAGTTGATTTTGGGTGGCTGGTGCAAACTAGTACGCTACCGAATGCGAAAAATGAACATCTGATGCAAAGCTTGCTGTAGTAATGAGTGGAATTTAGTGTAGGTATGCAGTTCCGTTTCGTAGCCAGGGGGCTACATGGCAGTGTTGGGGCAGAGAAGAATCACTAGATGAGCAGTAGAACTCGGTACTTAAATAGAAAATGTTAGATTTTGTTAGGAAGCCAAACATTTGGCAGGAGGCCAGCCAGAAGGGACAGATGGTTAATCAATGTGACCGGTGGTGAGGTTCGCAAGTTCACGGGAACATGGAACAAGCAGTCAACAAGATTGCAGTCTGACTATTCTCAAGTGCCCGAAGCTGAAAAGAATATCGATTCAGAGTGGGAAGAATCCCACTGCTCACAGATTGCAGTCTTGCTTTCTGGAAAATCGGGAAGCAGTTTAGCTTAAATGGCCAAAGAGTTAACCGGGAAGCACTGAGGAAAATGAAACAGCCGAGACATTTTGGGTTGGGAGAAATCAGATTTATCCTGCTGAATGAAAGAAACTATTAGTCCCACACTGTGTAAGTGTTGGGTTGAAAATATGTGGAAGTTGAGTGCTTGCAAAACTGAGTTATACTCACGGTGCAAAAGGAGATGGTGGCCTCAGAAGATGAAGGCAGAGCAGAGTCAACACTGGCCGTCCTGGGTTTGTGCCTCTTGATAGGAGTTGATGTCGCTCTCGGTGGACCACATGGAATAGACCTTTTCTCACCAACAAACAGAACATCGTGACCACTCCGTGAAATATCCGAAGATATGGAGCAAGAGCTTAAAGGTACTTTTTCGTCAAACCCTCCAGAGCGACTGTCGGAGGGATCTGCATCATCGTCTGAAAGTGGTACAAATGTGGTCGCACGATCTTCACTATCTTCAAACGCGCTATCAGTCGACTGTGTAGAATTGCCATTGGAAGAAAGACGTTTTGTGGTTAAAGAACCCTAAAGGGTAAAAAAGATAAAGCACTTGTGATCTACTCAGAAAGAAATACATGGAACGAAGGATGATTGCAAGAACGAACATTGGCCTGCAAGGTCAAATGATATGAAAACGGCCAGAATTCAGGTGCGCTTTTATTGAGATGGAAGTTCAAAAATCGCTTTGCGTAGGTGAATAAATCACTAATGCAGCTAATTCATCATCGTCACTCCGAATCAACAGGTTTAGATCAGTGTGGAAAAGCACCAGACGCCGGCGTTTCGATCTTCTGGGTCTCGGCAGTGGTGCGCCTCCCAGCGGGCCCCTGTCGGGTTCCGCACCCATGACTTCAGAATGTCAGCAGCTAGTGCCACTTCACCATGGGTGGCAGCCGCGGACCTGCATGATTGACAGTTAATTATGATATATCTAGGCTCATCTTCCTCCGCACAGTTCGTAATGCATGGTAGGGGAAGATGAGCCTGGCTATAGCATAGTTGACTGTCAATCATACAGGTCCGCGGCTGACACCCATGGTGAAGTGGCACTAGCTGCTGGCACCTTGAAGTCATGGGGGCGGAACCCGACAGGGGCCCGCTGGGAGGCGCACCACTGCCGAGACCCAGAAGATCGAAACGCCGGCGTCTGGTGCTTTTCCACACTGACCTAAGCCTGCTGATTGGGAGTGACGAGGATGAATTAGCTGAATTATACCAAAATGCTCACTATTACTCATCAGGAATAAACCACTAGTTAGAGACGCAGTCTGGCGCACAAATAATTTCGGAAGGCACCACTAATATATTCTAGAGTAACTGGACGCCGCGCACCACGCTTCTGAATGATCGAAGCTCGACTGCGCTAACACGCAGACTTGGGCGGGTTGTAAAACGTGGCTGTCGTACCTGCGGATATTCGGTGAAGAGAACAGTCTGAGAGAAAGGCAAATTTGAGGAATGGGACCGCAAGGTCACTTGACATACCTTCACTACAGTCGAAGGCATGGTTCGACTTTCGCAGCGCTCCGCTCTAACATAAGTTGCATAGTGACCTGTGCAATAAAAGCTGTGCAACTTTTAATGGATCAGCAACCATGTCTTTAGACCACTGGGAGCTCAGCAAACAGGCCATGTAGATGGAGTGAGATGACTCAACAAAGGTTTGACCTTCGAAACAAGCTGAGCGGATCAAATAAGTAGAAGAAAACTCATCTGAGATACATCGAGTAGGAAGACAGTATCTGATCCAAAGAAAAGCGAATGAAGCGGTCAAACACCTGATCATCATATAAACGTGAGCCATCACACAAACGTTCGCTGGATGTTAGGAACTCCTTAGCTATTGGACCTCAATACAGTCGGAAAAGAAAGAAAACAAAGGCAAAAATTTAGGACAAGTTGAATGATGTGATGTTTTTCTCACGCAATAACATCGCGATTGAAAGGAGAGGACAAACGGAAGCGGAGCGGATACAGAAATTCACAACACGTCACTGAGGTCAGCTCTTTGCCACGCCAACTAGTGTATCCAATCAAACGTGTCCCCTGTTCTTGTGACCTCAGCCTTGCAATCGGGAGACATCAACCGATGCCAAGTTGAAAGTGAGAGATTTCATTCCCTTTGACCACGTCACCGATTGGTCTCCTCTCTTCATCATTCATCCACACCCCGGCTGCGCAATCAACGCATGTGGCGGGAGTCAGTATACTAGCATGAGTATCACACGACCAAGCCATGGGAGCATGATACGTGAAGTTATATTGATGGGCAGTTCACTGGCTCTCTTTACACCAAATGCGCGAGGCCAAACAAGTGCATTGGTCACGCAGTGTTCCCACCTGATGTGAGCTAAACTGCGAAGGTGAAGGTTGTCGAACGCCACTAACCTCTGTATGTCTGTCTATCGCTTTGGTAGGTCAGGTTCCACAACCTTACGGTAGACTGCACTGTAAACTCTATCCTTCAGGACAAGAGTGATATCGCCCCGTCATCACAAGTGGCGAAGTTGAGACAAAACATCTACAGACATCCTGAGAATATAGGTACAGCGGCATCTATGTTTATTGCATCAATGAGCGCCTGAAGGAAACCCGACGCGTTCTCTCTAAAGTGAACCCGTCTAATCGGCACAATGTGTAGGAGCCCAAGCCTCCATGCGGCCCGCATGAGAAGTGGAGACTCGACTGCAAACTGCATCCGCTGACAGCCACTCTGGCGAGGAGACTCAGCCGACTTCAGTAGCCAAAGCACACGATAAGCTGACTCCGATACGATTGAGGACTGACAAGCAAACCACTAACGGAGGTCAGTGTAAGGGCAACAAGCGCTGACCGGACCTGCGTAGGGCGAGCCTGGTCATAATATGCACACACAGCGGTCAGGATATGACTAGGCGAAGTGGTGAAATGCTTGCAATTTGTTTATCGGATCACTGGCTGGGTGATGGATCACGAGCATATACCACCGTCAGCAAGTTACCCTCATCAATCCGAATCGCGTTACGTGCATGCGAATGATTATCTTTCGTCTGTATGGTGAGTGCGAGTGTAAGGCTGAACAGACTGCTCGACAATACAACACTATCCACAGTGCCAAGCGCCCCATCAACAGACGGTGTGTTCGTAGGCTGGTGAGAAAAATTGAACAAACTGGGAGCGTGTGCGACGCCAAAAAGACAGAGCCGCCTCCGCATCACCAAGGATGACTTTTCTGCTTGTGTGCTTATTCGTGAAGTGTCCAGAAGCTGAGATCTGAGTATTCATAACTCGCCCAGTATTGCGACAACAGCAGATATGCTGTCCATAGGATTTTGAAGGAAAGGAAGTTCCGGAAGTATAACGCCCATCAAGTGCAGGCATGAAACCTATGTGATTCGGAGAAGCGGCATCATTTGTGCCGCAAGTTTTTGATTGCCATGGATATCCATTCAATTCATTTTACCGAAGAGGCTGTTTTCCGTTTACACGGGGCGAAGGAGCAACAGTTTTGGGCAACGTGTATTCCACGCCGATACAGCGCTTCACGTATACAACATGGCGCAAAGCTCATAGAATGGGCTGGGTTAACTGGCCAAATAATCGTGGGACCATTTTGCTATTCCGGTAATGTAACCGGTAGGTTGTTGTTTCGAAGTACTAATGCCTTACGTTTTCTAGCATCCACGTACAAGGAATTACTGCAAAATTGTGTCATTCAGAAACTGGAAGCCGCTGGGTTATTAACTATCGTTTGGGTGCAACAAGATGGCGTACCTGCACACTTTGCACAAACAGTGCGGGATTTTCTCAACCAGACGTTCCCTTGCCGTTGGGTCGGAGAGGGAGGACTTATAATGGGCTGCTCGGTCACCAGATTTGAACCCTTTGGATTTCTTCCTCTTGGCTTACTTGAAACAGCGTGTTTACAAAACGAAGCCAAACTCTCTTGAGGAATTGAAGCAGAGCATTTTGCAAGAATGTCGCGGGATCTCAGTTGGCACTTTGGAGAAAGTGCTAGCAAACAGCATCAGACGAATGCTCACCGTACGCAAAACGCCGGCGGGCATTTCGAACATCGACTTCGTTGACAAATCTGAGCATTACATAGAGAATCCGTAAATGTATGTATCACGCAATGATTTATCGACTGAATTCGTGCGCTGGCTAATGCTCTCTTTTTCTTAGGAACGTCAGTTGATGGTTTCGCCTAGGGTTTCACTTGCGCGTGTCGTGTTATAAATAGCTCGGGATATCCGTTCTCTCGTAGGTCGCCCTTAACTTGAAACCTTGTCCCTACGGTTCATTATTTCTATTCCACTAAATCAATGCGGTGGAATAGCAGTCGAGGCTCAGTTTGCACATTTGAACAAACATCTGCCCAGCTGAACACAGACCAATGAGGAGACAAGCGGTTGCTTTACTACTACGAGGGTAGACCTTGCCAAACATTCATGCGCTAGTGACACCGAGAAGTGACGTGCCATGAGGAAGGATCGCTGTGAGCCCTTAACGCAAGAGGTACGCAATGAAAAGGTTGTAAAACTGGGACAAGTTATGTGATCAGATGTTGTTATAACGGAAAAACATGGCTACGTCCAGAAAACGCGAAAATTTCTCTCAGATTCTAGTCGGTTCATTCGTGATAAACCGCGATAAAACCGAAAAGGTTCTGAAATCAAAAGCTCGTAAAATAAAGACACTAACGACGGTGGGATGGAATCACGCAAAAATTTTGACACAACCGATCACTCGAACATCTCGGCTTCCTTATTTGTAAGGACTGCCGAAAACCCAAAAGGAAGGCATTCCCTAACCACTAATTGTTTCAATGGTAGGCGCACGGTATCAGAAGTTGGCCAAGTGCCTGACCAATATAATCGAACCAATCCTAAGGAAACTAGCCGACTGCAGCGTTAAAGACACATCTGTTTATAGAATACGGAATTTAAACGTTGGCGGGAAACAAGGTCTCTTTCAATGTTTGCTCGCTGTTCACATGTTTGTGGGATACATAGAAACTACCAGGTTGCGGCCTCGTATACGAAATACTCACTTTTACCTGTTTACCTCTTTCACAGTACTTGCGGTCGCAAGTAAAGTGGCCGTACTGAGAGATTGCTGTCACCGAGAATCGCAGAGCACCTTACCCCTAACATGGTTGCAAAAGGTCCCAAGCTGCCTATCGTTTCGATTGCTAGCCACATATTTGATTACTCCGCGTGCCAGAACCCTGGTGGATCGTTCAGCGTAATTAACAAACAAAGAGACTCTGTACAATTTCCCACCTATGTTCGTGAATAGCTAAATTAAATTTGTTTGATAACGAAGCGAAATCGTTTGTTGCCCTATCAAGTTCGTGGCGTTGGCATCGGCCGCGATTGCTCGCATTGTTCTAAGGCAGGTAGCGGATCACAAGTATCTCTTGTCGCATTATCCTCATCAAACCAATCATGCCGCTTACAGTTTGCGTGGCCGATGGTCTCCTCGGCAGCAGCTGTCATCTGGTCACGAATGTGGTGCTACAGGTCGCACACTGTGGCTATGCATTTCACATCACACAGGCCTGAAGCCATCGTCTTCTCCGGATCAATAAGTTTCTTCACCGCACCGAGGGAGGGGATGTTAAATTAACACCGATTCAAGGCGGGAGTGCAAAGCATAGATTTACGAACATATATGTACAGTTTCGTCCGCACCAACTTGTGATCAGTGCCGCACTCAGCTCCACGCAGTACATGTGTTATGTGCACTTCGCGCATATCGCCCTGACGTACGATGACATAGTCGAGCAGGTGAGCGTGACCACTCTGTGGGTGAGTCCAAGTTGCTATATCACTCGCGCCCAGTGCAAACCGAGTGTTCGTGATCGTCAGCCCCTGAGTGGCACACAGTGAGAGCAGCCTGGCACCGTTCTCATTCACTGAACCAATGCAATGCGGACCGATGACATCTGTCCACACCGGTGCATCACGCCCAACATGCGCGTTGAAAGCATCCTGCAGAAATAGTCGGTCGCTCCTCGGCACGGACCGTATCACGGAGGATAGCTGAATGTAGAATTGATCACGCGTGTAGTCAGGATGGCACATGGTCGTACCGTAGGTGTTTATAAAAGTGGAAAACTTACCTCTTCCGAGTCGTAGGCGAACAGTCACCAGTAGCGCGCTGATGCCTGTTGGTTCACTCACCAGGTGGCCATTTAGACGATCGGATATTGCAAATCCGACCCCATGTGCCGGTGGTGCTGAGGTGGCGTTGCCCACTCAGTAGAACGTGTAGTCAGCACCTGCTTCATGCAACTTACCTAGCTCAGCGAGCCGAGTCTCACTGAGTACCGCAATATCGATGTTGTAGCGCGCCAGTTCCATCGGGACCAGTGCAGTGCGTCGCTCGTGGAGCTCACTCGAGTTCCGGTCCAGTAGTGTACGCGCGTTCCAGCACCCGATGCTGAGTGCTTTGCGCGCAGACATACGATTGCATTGGTGGGCAATCGCACGCGATGTGGTGGTTGTGCTTCGGAGGTTTGCTTGAGCGACTTCACTCGGAGCTTTTGGCTGAATAGCCTGACCCACAAGGCAGTGGGGAGCAAATCCATCACGGGAATGTGATTGCAGACAGTTTGGGGTCTGCTTGACGGCCGTCACAAGCGTCTTTGTGATACTGGAACAACTCATATATGTTTTGCGACTGCAGTAGGATACGTACCTGCGACCACGGCAAAACGCAGGTGGATTGTGGCGGGTTTGCACCAATTTGACCAGGGGCTGTCTGGCTTGAGGCAGGCAGCAGCGATCCACTGAACACCCGGAGGTCCCTCCCACAGTCACAGACAATGCGTGGCGCTCGTGTTCGACGCCAATCGAGCTGTGAGCTTATAACCCGTAGACTTGTTTTCTTTAATGGTTAGTTTTTAGGGGAAGAGGACCATCGACCACTTCCTAACCTCCGAAGAGAATGGACTAGGATAATGGCAGGGCGCCCACACCTGACAGGAGAACGACTCAGGTCCGCAGCCAAAGCCTTCGATTAAATGTACATCCGAAAGGCAGCGGGTCTAGCACATGGTCAGTTCATTGACTCATGCGGATTGTTGTCCTGGATCTTAGCAGGGAGAAGGGCGTAACCCAACTCCCACCCAAACGACAATCAAAGCAAGCTGAGGGATTGCCGAATGTCGGCGGAATAAAGAGAGGGGAGATAATAGTGAAGTTGGAACAGATTTGCAAGCTAACTGCGATATATCGCAGTTACTTTGCAAATCATGACGATACGAAGCTGTCCCCCGTGGCCCAGTGGGATAGGCTGCTGACTGTTGGTGCAAGCTGCTGGTGGTCATGAGTACGAATCCTGATAGATCCGATGGAAGCGCACTAATGATGGTATCCAACAGGCTGAAACTGCAGTCTAGTGCTTGTCCGGGCATGCGGACGACTATCTGATTGGAAACTGGCTGGGACGAACCCACAATTAAGTACTTTAATATTGGTTAACTTTTATCGAAACCCGGCGTTCGTAGTATGCTTTAGGTTAACACTACAGGGGTGATGGTATTTGTAGCAGAAATACTAACAAAAATGTTAGAAATCCGTTCTCAATTGCAGGTCAAACTTCATAACGGACAACGGAAGGGGATCGTTAAGGAGTTCTACGCAGAACATAAAGGTTGGGCAATGGATTTAACGATATCTGGCGGTAATCTGAATGGGATTGATCGCGATAAGTAGCAAGCAAGAGCAACAGTGTATGTCGCTAGGAGTTAAACAATGAGAGATTTTCAATCAGATGTTTGGTTATGCAGGATTGCGAATGGAAGCAACGGTATTATGGTGAGATAAAAAGTGCCGCAGTATACAATAATGTGTATAAATACCTGGATGCCCACCAAATTTTATCTGATGGATATCACGTCAGTTACTGACCTGAGTTGTAATGTTAAACCGTTGAAGTTCCTCGAGTGTTACACATTCTTGCCATGATTTGTCATCCCGAATGGCGACCACGCGAGGAAATCGCAGCGTCAGCCTGGCTGCGTACGATTCCGTAGGCACCAGTTCCGAGGCGTGAATCTAAAATGCGAATGTCCAGTGTAGAAACCAGTGAGTGTCAATGTAAGAGAGAGAAAAACTGGCAACCTAATCATTGTGTTTCAGAGCAGAACACGACAATCCTGATGGAACGTTGACCATAGAAGAGGGCAAAATGTGTACCCTGTGAAAACAATGGGGATAAGCAACGTGTTGTTGCCACTCTATTGTGTCAAAGTAAGACTACTAGGTCTCGCTTTCTATCCCTTCGCAACTGGAGGACACCCGGAAATGGTATTTACTTGCTGCGGACAGTATGAAATTAAGCGTAAGAGGATTCGTCAAAAGGTCTAGTAGGGTTCGTTCATTCCTCTTACTTGGATTTGGGGTCGTGGAGTAGGCCGCAGCAGTAATTACCTACCCCGTGGGTATGACGTTATATTACCGACACTATAGTATTTGTCCTCTTATTTGTCACTCTAGGCCACCCTAACCGTTGAGTTTGGATTTTTCGCCTTATCCTCGTAAATGAACGCTATACATTGTTGTCGTTGTTACATATTATAATGATCGCCATGTCTTGGAACACATCAGTTAATACAACTAAATGCACTACACACCAAAGCTTATGAAAGAGACACATGGGCTGTAGTTGCATGGTGAATGAATAAATGTGGCTAGTTAAGTCGATGCAAAACACCGGTTGAAAAGCATAAACACTGGACCTGCCTGCAGGGCGACCGAGTGCTGTGGGGCAATCCACACGTCTGGACGCTCGGTGGTCACTCGAAGCCACTCGGTCATACCGACATTGGGTTTCCGTCTATCGTACGGAATCCAATGGGGTCCCAATTTGGCATCCAGATGTCGCAACTGATTGCGCGTCAGACCGGAACTTACCTGACGTAGAACAGAAGAAGCAAGGGAAGGAGTAAGTTTCGTAAGAATGGAGCTGGATCATTATCCTAGACTGAATGCAAAAAGCGTGGAGCGAGAAATCTTGAAGGCAGATCAAGCTGCAGCCTCAAAATAGTTGGATGTTAAGATAAACAGAGGCTAAGTTTAAGTAAAGTATCAGATCAGTAAAACCCGAGTAAGCGTCTCAGTGGAGCACGTCACACCATTTCAGTGAATCTAGAATGCAGCCCGGCAGTTGTAAATGATGATCATTAGTCTTATATGCCTTCTGAAAACCGATAACACGAAGCTGAGTGCAGTTGATGGTAACAGCGCCGTTGCTACCAACATCAAATTGCGTCTAACGCATGAACCGTTGAATGCACTTGAACGATAGTACAGATCAGGCCCGGGTGCTTTGCGTGAACCAATCTGACATCATGAATCCAACCCACACGATTGCGATCGAGTGTTTGTAGTCTTCATCAGCACAAAGGTAATTGACGGCTCCTTGGTATTCCGTCGAGGTTAATCTCAATCTCGGCCCGCGGACTTAAGGATCGCGAGCCTGCCTCGTAACCCGACGGCGCGGGTTCGAGCGTGCATAGGGACCAGTGACCCTCGTAGTATCTTTAGCCCACGTGCAACTAGTGGTGGTTACGCGGCAGCGAAGCGTCGGTACAGCGTTCCGGCGTAATGAAGCTTTTGAGTCAAAAGCGAAACATTGTACAGCTTAACTAATAAACCAACCGGTCGTTTGCCAAACCTTCTGAAACGGCGCAAATGCCTTTCTTTCTTTCAATCCAAGGAATTTCACTGAGATTCAATAGCACCGCTGAGTTGACTGCAGATAGTTGAGGAGTGTGTGACAGCCTGAGTTGATTAATGAGTCATTAACTAGCTCGAAGTAGTGATCCGATCAAACTCTTGACCCAAAATACCTGTAATTTATGTAACTGATAGAGTTTATACGAGGTCACCAGGCTTGAATTCAGATATTGCTCTAGCTCAAGCAACCAGCTGTGAGGTGTGTCAAAACACCGTGAATCTGGGTGTTACGTCTCGCGCTGCTATTATAAAAAAGAGCGCATGTGTGAAAGGCAACAAAGAGATGGCGTAGACAGGTTGCCAAAGAAATCTGACATAAAGCTATCAGAACCGATGGATGATTGAGGACAAGAGCTAGATTACAACAGCGTCACTGAGTTGCCGGCTGCGCAATGGCAGGTACCAAATCGGTGGTCAGAAAGTTTTTTCGTAACTCCATCAACTTAAAGCTTCACTAAACGGTATGGTAGCAGTACGGTGCACAAAGGTATGAGACCGGTGATCATGTGACAAACGTGAAATAGCCAACACAGCCTGCTCAATGTCAACGGACAACCTGGTGTGGCACCACCCAGAGAGTGGTGGCAGACCCCAGCCGGTGGACATAGACATTATTCATCGCGTAGGCCCATCAGGTATGAGCAATGCTCAGACCAGACATGGGCATTTAAGTAATCGTTGTCCCTCCTCCTCCTCATCATCATCATCATACACGTTAGCTAGAGGTGGGAAACACCTCAGCTACTGTGCCGCAATACAAAGAAAAAAAGGTGAGAGAAGAAAAACAACTGGTGCAAGCTGGCTGAGCTACCGGTAATGGACGGGCATCGTCCCGGTAAGCTACCAGCCGGCTGCAGTGCACACCCCCCCCCCAAAAAAAAATTATGCAAAATTATATAAGGCTAAGTAATGAGATCGTGGTTGGAGGGGGAGGCTAAGAGGGATGGAGTGGGACAAAGAAACTCACACCACGAACGCCACTGAGGTCGGCTCCTAGCCATATCAGCAAGTGTGTCCAACCAAACGTGTTCATCGTCTTTCGGACCCCAACCAGGGAGCCGAGACGCTCCAACCGAGGCCAGCTCAGAAGTGAGGGCCATCGTTGTTCCTAGTTTTAGCCAAAATGCCATGGCCATGCCTCTGACCAGCAAACGTAACCTGGTCTTCAAACGGGGTTGCAAAATCTGTCCCTGATTAGTAGGCGAATAAATAGTCATATCCACAGGTTGGAAGTTTGAAATGGAGAAGCCACATGGGTTATACGGATAGGTACAGAAATTCGGTCGGTAGATAAAGCAAAATAGGTGGATATATGGGTGCTTTTTACATGACATGCGCTCTTGAGATGCCTATTTTGTGTAGCATATATGGCATCAAGGAAAGTGACCAGACCAATACAAGAGAACTGCCACTGTCATTTGGTACCAAGAGAACAAGACGTCTGGACGTCCTGTTGCGTTCTGAATGTACCAGTTCGACTCGGACTTCTCCGAGAATAGGAAGCAAGCATCACATGTGGGTTCATATGAGGCATGGAGAAACAGTAGATCTGCAGAACCGATCCACGAAATGCTCCGCCAGATATTTAGGCCGGCGTGTTCGATAACAACTGCCAAAATATCACTTGTTCATTTTCCAAAATATAAGTTCAGCCATCGAAGTATTTCATTGGCCTGTGTTTTGAATAAGTTTGAAATGAAATCATCTGTTCCAAAGGCGCCCGCTTCCTCCGCCTCACTGGGTATCATAATACCCAACTTTAAAGCATTTGCAGTTTTTACAGCCTCAGGGTTCGCGTACACCTTGAAGATGGCATAAAAAGAAACGATCTGTCAAACATAAGCCAAAACAATCGAAGTAACCAAAAGTTATCAATTATTCGAATGCCTCAGGAGATGCAGGTAAGCGGCTGAGAAGACGCTTTTCATGACACATTAGAAACGATTCAAACCACCAGTAGACTCATAAAACAGATTCGCTAGTAACGCTAGATGTGAAAACTCGGTTGGATAGTGTCTCATTGAAGAGGTTGAGTTCAAGAGGAAACGATGCGCACTATACAGTCAAACGATTAAACAGTCATATCCTAGACAGGCACGTCGGACAGAATGTAGTTGGGCAAAAAAAGCTCGTGGTAGCGCTTCGCCTGATTACGCTTGGTGGCCTATCCTACAGGACTTGATTGGAAAGCAATCCCATGGCATATCTACCTTGTACGAAGTTTCCGGGTCGAATCGTGTTGCAATTCTAACGTAGGCAGTCTTGTATAAATGTTTCGATAAATCAGATTGCAATATACGTAAGTAAATATGTTCCACCTGAAGTTGCTGGCATCGCTCCCGATAGTTATAGGTGTAGTGTTTGTGCAACAGACGTTTTGTCAACCATCTGTTAGTGTACTGTCAGTATTACTAATGCCGCCATAAAGTGTCACAATACTTGAGGGTGGAGTGGTGAGTTTCTTAAAAATTGTATCTGGGTCGGATCGCATGGAAGTTGTTGAGTATATCGAGGAGGACATGTATACGGACAGCTGCAACGAATGGATGAATTTCACACATCCGTTTCAACCAACTTCGAATAATCTGGAGATTATAGAGGTGTGGTGAATTGGTTGGTAAGCACCAAATTATTGTTTGGGACCACTATTGTGACGAGAGATGGGAAACGATACTACCCAATGGAGTTGGAAGTGCCTTGGTTCCAGCAATAAGGTAAACATGAGTAACAAAAACAACAGTATGCCTAACCCGCTGGTTTAGTGGTGGGACAGGGGGACACCAAAGACATTCAAATGGAAGGAGTACTTAGTGAATTTCATTGCTTGGTGAATTTTACAGAAGGAAATGTCGACACGTATAAGATCCCGGTGGGGACCTTGAATGTTAATAGTCGTATAAGATGTGATTATTGACTGGAAAGTGCACATTACTTTAAACAAGATAGTCCGGCAATAGTGCGAAACTACCGAGTTGGTGTATCAAGTGGATATTATTAGAGCCCAAGAGTGACAGAGTTGGCACCTATTAAAGGAAATGGAACGTAGTACGCACGCGGACATGCGCATACCTCGCAAGCGAACCGAGAAATGCCTCAACGGGGACATCAAGCTACTAATGACTCGGAGCCATGCACACTTCCAGCAGGCAGTGTAACCAAGGGACAGCTACAAACACACCATCGGTGCCGGTTGCGAACCATGTACGATAATATTTTGTGGAACTTAGAGAATGGAATCGCGCGGATCACAGACTGGAAAGAGAGACGACCCAGAATATAAGGGTGTAGTCAATGGTTACATTGTTCGATACGGGATCGATGAACCTCATCACAGATGGGACAAACAGAACCATGCGGCCATCGGTGTAAGGCTACACAAATTAACTTAATCCCCACCGCCTTAATGGTTCGGGCATGCTGGTACCAAATGTGGACACAAATGCTCAGCAGGTAACGGTGGTTATAAGGGTGAAGGCGACTGAGAACTACACGACAAAGGTAACAAGTCTCACAGTCCCATTGTGCCATGCACGGCGATCAACCACCTTCGGTTCCCATGACCTACAATGAAGATTAGAACGTGAGAGGCTCACTTTGGTCAACTCCAGGTAAGGAAACTTCGGTTTCCCCACATGCTGCTTCAGTATCCGCGTCGAATCCATACAGCTCACATGACGGAGCCACCTCAGGTGCCTCATCAAAAGTACGCAGTCCACTGCATACATTCCACTTCGGCGCAACACTTCCGTGTATGCAACCATGTCGCACCAACCGATGAGCAGAACCCGTCGCAGTCACTTTTGAAGGATCTGTTCGAGATATCACATATCCCGCCGGTACATCATCCACCTTTCGCTGACATCACCATGGATTTGTACATCATCAGCTTCGTGCGAACAGTAAGCTGCTGGTTGTTCCATACTCGGCCCTATAGCTTTCCGAATGCCACTGCTGCCTTCGGTACGTGGATACGAAGCGCAGTATGAAGCTGCTGGTCAGCCGACACCACACTCCCAAGGTAGCAGAAGCGGGAGGCGGTTTCCAATACTACAGCACCAATGCTGATTCGCAAAACCATTGTAGAATGTACCTCCGATGAAGGCGCGAAAGGGTATTACAAACGTTAAAACTAGCCTTTTAGAATACTGTCATTATGTTCGACTCACGCAGTTGGC